CGGTTGCCGTTGTTTCGTCCCCCCAGACCAAATCGTGAACCGCTCAAGTTGTACCACGCAGCTGGAGGGGCGTTAGGCATGTTGGTACGCGATGCCGTGCGAGCCATGTCGCCTGTGGCGTTGGGATCTCCTTCGCCAGGGGTTGGTCGGGGTTTGGGGGTGTAGTAGTCGGCCTTGCACAGAGGACAGCAGGCCCTTCTGCTGGTGAGCCAAGGATCAACGCAGACAGCGTGGAAAGCGTGGCCACATGTTAGTCCGCGAATATCATCATCGTCCTCAAGCGTGTCAATGCAAATGGCACAAGTATCACCGCTGGTAGCCATCAGTTCAGGCGGAACGGCGGCATTGATGTGTTCATCGTCTTCGTCCTCCTCCTCACTGTGAACACGCTGGAGATGAGTGGCAGAAGTCGGGGTGGTCTGAGTAGCATCGGCATTGGCAGTCGTAGTCGAGGTGTCTCCGTCCTTCTTCGCAGCATCTTCGGTAGGTTTCTCGGCGATGGCTTTGTTCCCGGCGGCGGTAGCGGGGCGATCTTCAATCGACTCGCGCTCTTTCGAGGGCAGCTCAGGTACAATTCCATCGACAGATCGGAGACTGTTCGCCCGACTGGGAGGCGCAGAAACACCGCCGGCGGTAGGCAGGCCCTCTCGTGCACGCTCAGATACCCATGTCTTGTACTTTGTCATAGGGAATTTGTCGTTGACCTCATCCATCGTCATTAACTTCTTCTCGCGGCGCCTGCGGTGCGGGCGAGGCATGTTCTCAAGGTTGATGGGCTCGCCATCCTCGTTGAGACGCATAGCACGATTACGAGCATTGTACCGGAAGCAGTACTTGACGCCAACGATGATCCTAGAGACGGTGTTAGATGGTTATTGAGCGGGTATAGTCAAGTCTTAAGCAGGCTAACCATAAGTTCGTAAAAACTACTCCAAAGCCCAGGGCGACGAAGAAGAGCAGAGGGGAGCTCGTGGAGCCACCATTGCCGCCCCCTCCTCCTCCATTGCCCGAGTTACTGGTAGGCGTCGGGTTGTCGGTGGTCGTTTGGATTACACTCGTGGCATCGTTGAGAGTCGACGTAGGGTCGGCGCTGAATGGTGCAGATGGCGTAGCGGACAAGGCCCCCGAGGTCGAAGAGAGCTGCCGCACCACGAGGTGGGAGACCTCGACGAAGACCTGATCAATGGCAGGCATTTTGACGGCGATCTAGCAGTCGAAATCCACGTCCTGGCAGTTGAAAAGTCGAACACCGTTGGGAGGTGATGCCGAAAGAAAACTCACGGTCGGGAGAGAGTCGAGTTCATGGAGTTGAGAGATGGGTGTGGCTAGGTTGAGTGACTGCCTTGATTTGAAACCGGAAAGCCGAAAACAGCAACTACGGACGGAAATGGTCGACCTGAACCCCCGTTCGCATGCGGCGTGCAATCGATACAATCCGATCGAGTAACGAAGGAAATTGCGTCTCGTAGAGATATTATTCCCTTCTGTATACGAGTCTTGGTTCCAATCTACTCTCAAGCCGTGGGAGGCGTGGTGAGTAGAGTGAATTGAAACAAGAAGAGAATCACGACACGATGTCGGATGGTGGTTGGGGAAGGTTGACAAAAGCAGGCAAGAGAGTGCGGAGGGAGGGAGAGTGCAGGTGGAGTGGGATAAGTATGGAACAGGACATGGAACTCTGACGGACAGTAAGAGCGTAACACAGCCCGGTCGCAGCGAAAAAGTGGGAACCACAAGGCGATGGGCGGGTAAGTGCGAAGGGGAAGGAAGAAGAGGAGTGGAGGAAGGACCACCCAGCCCAGACAAGACACATCAGACACCCCAAGGGCCGCCAAACCAAACCGAGCAAAGTGTGGCAGAGACGTACCCAAGTATCCCTACCTTACCTTCCAGTGTACGGAGTAATAGGTAGGCCAGTTGAAAAGGTGCAAGAAGGCACCACGGCACACGAAGGAAAGAGGCACTGAGGCACAGAGCGAAAGGAAAGACTGGGGAAGAGCGATGGAACGGAGAAGCGGCCTGCAAGATGGGATTGGGCAGGGTATGAGTTAGCCCGCGCCAGGGTTGTATGCAAGGAGGTGGAGTTGCTGAGAAACCGGGTCTTCTTTGTGAGGTGGTGTTGGTAACCTGGCACGCTGCACGCCGGCCTGGATGAAATGGATGTTGGCTGCCCTCACACTGTGCCACTGCGAAGCCTCAGATTAGCATTTTCCAATCTGTGCTGGTGCACACACCTTCAAGCCAGGTAGGGGCACGAAAGGGTGTCATGGAGACGGGCGACCAAACTGAGCATACCTGAGGACGGATAGTGCCCAGTACCGACTGCTTCGTAGATACCGAGACAGCACAGACAATCCACCATGGATGAAAGCGCTGCCATTTGAAAGGATTAGACTGCGTATGTACGTATGTAGAAATCCAAGGCATGCGTCTCGTAGGTGACTGAGATGGACGCTCACGGGTCTGAGGGCCGTCAATTGTTGCAAGTCACCTCGTTTGCACCTTCACCCAGCTCGTAGGACGCCCCGGTCTAGTCTGTTTTGGGAAACAAAGCGCCACGCCAGAGACAATGTGAGTGATGGAACTCGACCCTCGGACAGACGACTATACTCCTTTAGGACTAGTGTCATATCTCGCTCAAGTGCTCACATAGCAAGTGGGTTGCTCTCTTGAAATGTCATGGTTGAACTCGTTCTTGACTGGGGAACCGGCAATGAACCGGCGGGGAAACTGAGAAAATGGCCTTCTAAAATCTTGAACAATTCAAAGGCAAGCGTATTGTTCTCAAGATAAGAAATGCAAAAGCAGGCGTCTACAACTAAGGTTGGCCGGGGACTTACCTTACCGTAGATTGTCTCTTCCCGCTGCTTTTGACGGATACAGTGACTTGAGTCTGACTCTGGGCTACCGCCATGGTGCTTAGGTTGGCTTTAGCGTCGCTTGTCTTCAACCCCCTACTAACGGAGCATTTAAGGTACTTTACACAAAATCAAAGCTCAAGCGCCGCTTCCCGTGATGGACAATCCGATTCTCCTCTTCATCTCGGCCAACCCGTTGGTTCTTTGTCGTTGTTCCCGCTGCCGTCATGAGGCTGATACTGCAAATCGCACCCTATCGGATTCCGTCTACCCCTATCCTAGGTAGAGAAATCTCGCATCGAATCAAGGGGCCCAGCATGATGCTGATCTGACACGCAAGGTACCGTATACCACTGCCGAACTGCCTGATGTTGCCTTAGCTCAAGGTAGTGCGTACCTGCCATCAAGGCGCCTGAAATTCCAAAGAGTCTGCCTGTCGCGCCCGCACAACCTGCACCGCAACACCACCTCAAGTCACGAACACCAATACCATTCGGGCCTGCTGACACTGCTTCTAAAGAAGAAGGGGTTTCTTTCCCTTGCTGATATCACGTCGGATAAATCATCCGTGCCCTCAGCTTCCATTTCGCCCACTTGCCCGTTCATGATTTGAGTTCCAACATCAACTTCCTCCAAAGCCTCGGCAAATCATTTCTCGGTTCTCGACAGGCATGGGTAATGAACAGCCGACCATGCAAAATGTCGTCTTCTTTGTTCCCCTTTGTCTTTGCAACCAAGCCAAATCCCGCACCGCTACGGCCGGGTATTAGGCTACCGGTCAGCTTTAGCCCGCGGTGCGCATCGTCAACGCCATCCGCCCTCCGGCGGCCCAGGCCGATGCTCTGGCGATGCCTCGAAAAGAAAGCAGGGGATGCTGTGGGGATGCGGCGCCGGACGGTGGAAGGGAAAGACCGCGGCACCATGCGGCGATAACCCAACGGAGAATTGCAGCAGCAGAAGCAAGCACCTAGCGGCTTACGCCAGAAGCAAAGTCGACAAGGGTCAGAGTAGGATATGACTGCTCGGTTGTTTCGTCTCTCGCCAAACGATCGCCCGAGTCCAGCTGTCTGGAGCCGCGTGTCTGAGGGTTTGATGTCTCTTTCACGATCATACCTCCTGGAACTGAACTGCCAGCATATTCGCTCACGCCTGACATTGAAACGGAAAGGCATACGACCAGCAGGTACCTAGATGGGCATCCCCAATAGCCATTGCAACCTACGATTATCAGCCGCTTGTACGGAACATGGCCGGAGCAACCAACGTCTACCTGTTGAATTTTCTATGCTTTCTTTTTGCAGCCATTGCGCATTATTCTGTTGCTTCATCCTTGTCCTCACGAACAGGGTTCTTCCAACTTAGAGTGCTTTGGTTTTCCCAGCCCCGGACATGGCGCACATGGATCCATATCACCGAGTCAAGCCAGTGTCAGACGAGCCATCGGATTGTACAAAGTCGGAGTTGAGCGCTGGGTTGTGCCTTGCAGATGGGAGCAACCGAGCACGCCATCACTAATCCGTGTGTATCTCGTTTCTGACGTTCTACTGTGTATTGGTGTGTAGGGAACGCGGCACCAATTCGAGGTACGGCTACCCCGGCCCGGGAGAAGCAACATACCTACCAAGCAAGCCTTCAAATCTTCAACACCAACATTGGCGACTAACCCCTGGCACATCCCGCATAGGGACATGCGAGGAAGAAAGAGAGAGCGAGAGAAAAAAGAAGCACAACACGCACGTATCCGTCCAATACGACGAAAAGCAATAACTCAATCTCCTGGCACGGAATACGACGTCCTTACTGTCCCTCGTCTGGAATACGTCTCAACATCTCAGACATGATCATTAATAGAACCTGCATCTCAGCGCAGCGCTCCGACGAAATGGACGGTCTGAAGGTCGCGAGAACAATTAATAATAGCCACGAACTATTGTTCATGGCGAGTAACGACATGCTGGCTGCCTACCGCTGCACGCTGCAACCACTCGAAAAACCAGATGGCCAGCTTCGGAACGCTAGGGCCGACAGGCAATTGATTTCACCCCATCTTCTCAATGTTTCAGCATCACGGACAAAGACGACGCTTTTTCGCCACGACGACTCTATCGGCAGTGTGGGCTTGCTTGATTCAAGCGTTTGTCAATGTGTCGCCCTCCTTACACAGTCGAATTGACTCCTCGGACCCTACCGCCAGCATTTCGAGAAGATGCACTCACTCGGCCACGTCTAATCGTTGTCAGTGCCACCTCAGCCAGTCCGAGCACCAGACCGCTGCTTTGGCAGTCGGTATTCCCCAGGGTGCCAGGTCAAGATGTCAGACACGAAAGCGCAAGAGCACTACTACCAGGATATCTGAACTGAGTACTGCTCAGGCAACACGACACATGTATGTCTCACACATCTTATTATCAGATGCCACGACACGAACAACCTTACGATTCTTTGGTCAGTGAACGGCTCTCTTAGACGCTGCTGTGTCTTGCTCCGTCTCAAGAACCAAAGCCCCTGGAAAACGCTCAGGCGCACCTAGGAAAGCTTGATCTCCTTGGGACCACTGCTGTTCCTGGGGACGACGAAATCGATGTCATGAAGGCTTCCCTTAGTACCTTACATGACTGCCATTGAACCGCCAAATCGTGAAAATGAGCTCCCTAGCGTTATCAGTGATTAAATCCTACTATCAGTACCACGACCAAACTACAACTTCGCTTCTTCGGAATTGTATCAAGCTGTCTCGACTGGGGAAACACGCGCAAAGACAAGCCGATTGATCCGTGACTAACAGGACAACAGTACGAGGAAATAGTCTTTTCACAGTGCGTCTGGGGATACTGGCCCGCTCCAATGGGGGGCTGCTTCGACTAATGACGCTGACCGAAGGTGAGTGCCGTCAAATCCGGACACACCAACTTATCCCCGCCATTGATGACGGCGACGAAAACGGCTTGGCTCCCGGCCAAACCAGAACATTCCCGGTCTTCGTCTGCAGCGTGTTTGTATACCGAATATTCTGGGCTTTCAAGCTTCCATCGAAAACTCAAGCCTACGATGCAGTATGGTTGCGGTCGCTTCGAACACGTCTGCGCCCCAAATTACAACAGAACGCCCGCTGTAAGCCAAGTTTCTATGGTTCACTAGAAAGATCTCACAGCCTACTCTCCACGTCTATGAGGGAAATTCTATCATACCCTCGAGAGGCTCGAAAGTTGGGAGGCTGGTACGCGGGGCGGCTGTTAACAGAGCCTGTGTGTGCAACTGGGATCATGCCATCAAAGCATCCGCGGCAGAATAATGTCGATCAACTTCTATCGGACCCGGGGTGTTGCAGACGGATCAGTAGATGCCCCTCGCCGTCGGAATGAAATTCATCGGATTGCCCTGGCCGCCGGCAACAACCACGCCATAACCTTTTGCTTCCGGGTCTTGCGGATTTCGACGTTCAACCCCGGAGCCTTCCGAGCCGCACATCTAGGTCTGTCTTTGGGGGCCATCTGACTTAGTTTTCCTTTCCTTCCCGCGCTTTATGGCGCCAACGAGAACACTAACTAATTCGCCTGCCCGCTTTCGTTGCGAGTGGGCGGCACGAGTTGTCTCGTAACTCGGTGGTCGTATTGTAAGGCCACAATTTTCGCGGGGGCCAGATGCTTATCTTCGCCGCGCAGGAATGAGGATATTCTTTTGTCATCAAGGTCATCATCGATTTGACTTTCAATCCCCGGAAAACAGCTGGCGCAGGGCTGTGCAGACACGCCATTGAACGTTGAAAGAAGGCTTGCCGATCCCAGATCGCATTCCACGCCTCCAATATCTCCCAGTCGCCCCCCAGCCACTACTGAACATCGGCATTCAAAATATTTGGTGATCATGTGCGGTGTGTCTACGACGTACCTGGCTACAAGCTACAACTGCGGTCCTCTGCTTGTTAGCAACGCGATTTGGTTCCGTATTGATAGACTCGTATCGTGGGTGACCTGTCAGCGGGCCATGCGTGGATCGAGTGGTAACGAACCGCGCCCGAAACAAAATATACAGGCCCCTAATGTGTGAGGCCCTCGGGAGTGTGAAGGTCGAAAAGTCCTGTTTTCGCGAATCACAACGAGACCTGAGCCTACTATTGGATCGCCAGCATTCCATGAGATCATTTTCTATGGAACGACAGGCTGCTTTGTCGCCCGAGCCCGGCCCCCTCTTCATCCGCTCCACCCTGCTCTGGTGCTGTCGATCTTCAACGCCGCGCCATCCGGGGGGAGTCTGGACTTTTTTCGCCTACGAGTTGGTTGGCTCGCGATAACGGCGATGCGGCAGACGCACCACGGCAGCAAGGCAAAGAGGAAAGCCGTCCTTGATGGGGCTTGTTGCTAACGCCAGCCTGTCAGACGCTTCAGTTCGCTCCCGTCGATCAGTTCGATTTCCGGCGAGCAATTCAAATCTCCCCCAAATCGTCCACGGCGAAAACCCAAGTGCCTGGTAGCGTTCCGAGCATTCCAGACTTTCCACGCGGTCGTCGCGATGCGGCATATGTGCGCGAAGGCTGGCGCCGCGGGAAACTTGGAGAGGGGCAACGATTCTCTCCAATATCGTCGAGTTTGGTGTCCTCATCCACTCTCGTAGCCCCCAAGCCTCAGCCAAGAGAGGCTGGGCATTTGGCAAAAGTAGACTATCTTCTGTTAAACCCGAATTCCGTGACGCGGCCTTCTGCATTTGGTACCCTTGGAGTACGGGTACGGGGGGCTTCTCCTCACTTTCAACCCCGGGCTTCAGCTGGAGCTGCAGCTGTAGTGCAGCCAAAAGACGCGGGGTTCTCTGCGCGATGTTCGCTCCGATTCGAGAGGACCTCTGGCCGCGGTGGGTTATGTAAGATGCGAGGTAAGGGCAGCAGAGCAAGGAGAAAACCACGCGACCAATGACATATGGACGGTTTGCGTGGAGCTGCGGTGCCCATCCACGAATTGAGGATTCATCAGAACAGCTGCTCGAGCGGTCGAACAGTCTGGTTTCGGTAGACCACTTGCTGGTTCGCGAACTTCTATCTACCCCCCTGACCGTTGGAATTCTAATTACCAGAGGAAGCATGAAGGCTGAGCGCCCAGGTAGCCCATTGTGGCTGATCTATTGTTTCAAGTGCGACAACATCAAGCTTTCTCTCCCTATATTTCTTTTTAGTTGAAGAAGCTTAATATATTGCTGTTCTTGTTCTCCCTCTACTGCGTACGGAATATGCTTTCCAATATTAGCGCACGACCTCACGAGGATTTTTGTATGCCGAACCGGTCTTGTCTCGCGTGCCCTTGCCAGGTACGGATTCATCCACGGCGGTCCTGAGTCAAGTTCCCTCCCGGGGGTCCCTGTCGCCCATGAATTTGGGGCTGCACGGGTCTTTTTTTCCCTCTTTTCCTTTTTCCAATATTGTGTTTCCCTTGTCAGATTGACACACTTTGACAGCCGTCAGCAGACAGCCCACCCCGGGGAAGGCTACTATATCTTCGGCGACCCCCGGCCTCGGCACGGACGACGGCCGATCGGGAGACGGCTCATCCGAGAACTTTACGGGTCCGGGGTGTATGTGTTTGTGTGTGTGGCCGGTTTGAAAAAGCAACCGTGAGGTTTGGCATACTCTCCAAAACCCTCCCTTTTCGTTTCTGCTGGGCATCGGTGAAGGGGAAGAGAGAGAATCTCGGCTCATCTCGCCGCGTTCCCTCGGCGCAATGGACCCCGCCGTCAAGTCTGCTGCATGGAGTAACGGCGTTTCTTTAGACGTACAGGTTACTTTGGGCTGGAGGACGAATCTCGACGGTGGTGGTGGTGAACCCTACCGGATTTCGTTACTCGGTTTTTCTAGCTGAATGAAGCCGACGTTCTAAGTCGAGCGTGATGGCGAGGGTTGTGAAGATTGCTGGCGATGAGGCGCACATGGAGCTTACACTGGCATAGGCTGCGATTCGGATGTAGGAGGATATCCGCTTCTCTGTCCTGGGGAGGTTTGGTCAAGCACGCCTCGATTTTAAGGAGGCTTGATGTCTGCTTGACGAGTGGGCTAATCATCTTGCCGTGATGGCTCTGCATTGCTTTCTACGTCTCCCTACATGAGAACTAACACGAATGGTTCCAAATGTACCCAGGCATCGAGCTTGAACTTCTTCGCTATTTCAAACTGGTACTTACCTAGCCAAGTCAGCCTGCGATGCACCAAGCGGTCAGCTCGTCCCATGGTTGAAGCTAAAGTTTTCAGGATGTACTACAGCTACGGGCGGGTGGGTTGATGATCCCCCCATCATGTTTCCTGTTTATGGCGTGATGCAGCGAACGAGGGAACTCTGTGCTATTTTCCTTTTTCTCGCGGTGTCTCGTATGACCATACATTCAGCATTGTTGCCCATGACTTGACGATTAGTCTTCGTGATCGTTGTCTTGATTTTTGGGGTTCGGCTCGAGATCTGGACAATACTTACGATGTGGCAGCTTACATGAGGCGGATGAAGTCCCTCGCGCGACGGGGGGATAGGTTGCTCCGTGAGCAATCGCTCCCGGTCTTTTCAGAGATGGTTTAGGCTTCTTTACAGAAGCCTGTCTTTTGAACGTTGCGAACTCAGTGTGATGAAAGGTCACCGGCATCTGGAGTGGATCTGATGTTGTCTTTCAAAGTCAAACCGCTGTTGTTGATAAGGCGCGAGCGCTCATTCTGACCATCCCGAATTATTTCTTAGCCTATAGGGACAGAGGGAAAAACATCTTTGGGGCTCTCGAGGTACCCGGCCTCCAACTTGGTCATTCCTTCTCTAGCCAAGATCATCGATCGCCAGTAGTCCCTGTGCTTCCCTGGAAATCGATCTTGCATGGAGAGCCCCTTGGCTTGCTGGTCTGGGCAAATCTGTGACGCATGAAGGGTCCTCATACAGTGGATTGTTGGGGTGATTTACACATCGAAGCCGGTGTATAAAACCTTATCCACTGCCCGTGCGGCAGGATCGTTATAGAATCGGCAGAGTCAATGGAAGATGATACCTTTGTGACAGTCCAGCGGTTTGTTTCTATTGGATGAGAGCAACAGGAGAGTACGTCCGTAGAGCACCAATGTTGATAATATGACGGTCAGCTTGTCCTGCAAGTCGGTCGAGGCACGGCCACTACCCTCGGAGGTTCCAGCAAGACGGTACTCGGAAGCCGTTGCGAGCTGATCACTGCATCTCCAAACACAACAATGAACCGAACGATACGTGTAAAGAACGTTCCTCTGATGCGGAGTTCGGATTCAGTGTGGCTTGCATGTTCGCTGCATTTGAGGCATTTTGCCAGCAACCCGATACCCCGGAGGACAAGTAAAGCCTCGTTTTTGGCCCGTTTGGGTAGGTGCCTCCGCACCA